TTTATGAATCCTTTGAGAGCTTCATACGTGTATACTGTGTATTTTGATCACGTTATTCCCCCATTCCTTCCCCTGATATCCTCCCACCCCATACTTTCTCTGACTCCCTCAACTTCATCATGTTCCTTTTCTTTTATAACCTACCATGTCTAGTTTGCGCTGCCCATATACTCATGGGTGTGGAGCTGTCCATTGCAGTATGGTTGACCTACCAGAGGCCACACCCTTAAAGGAACTGACTCTCCCTCCCCCAGAAGCCATCAGCTGTCAATAGCTCCTTAGCTAGGGGTCGGGGCTGGTAAGCCTCTCTCCCATCCTGCTAGAATGTTGACTGGCTTGATCTTGTGCAGGTCTTATGCAGGTACCATAGCTGCTGTTAGTTCCTGATTGCAGAAGTCCTTGACCTCTGACTCTTTTCATCTCTTTTTCCTCAATGTTCCATGAATCTTGGAGGGAAAGCGTTTGATGTAACTGTTTCATTAATGAGGGACACTCAACAGATACTTTTTCTCTGCATTTTGAGCAGTTGTGAGTTTCTGTACTATCCACTGTCCACTTGACAAAGAAGCTTCTCTGCTGAGGACTTGAGAGCTGCACCAATATGTGGGTGTAGAGATACATATATAGAGGACTATTTGATGCCATGTCTATTTAGCAGAATAATAGTGGTAGATTCACCCTTGGGGCCTGTGAACTCTCCAACCATGGGTTGTTGGTCAGATTTACAGGATTAGGCATCTATTTCCTCCTGTGAAGTGAGCCTTAAAGTCAGTCAGAAAGCAGTTGGTTACCTATAACATTCATGTCACTATTGTACCCATGGGTATATCTTGTCTAGCTGGTCATTATTGTAGTTCACATCTGGATGAGGCTGTTGGTGGCTTTCCCCCCCCTCAGCAGCCTACATAGCACCTTCTGGTACTAGGAAAGCTAACCAGTAGAGGGGAAGTGTCCCCATCCCAGATGTTATGTTTATGTTTTAATTATGTTTTTTTGTTTGCTTGCTTTATGTTAGATGAGGTCTTGCTATATTATCCAGGCTAGTCCTTAATTCCTAGGTTTAAGTGATCTTCCTGCATATCTGGGATGTACTAATCAGATTTTTGTTGTTGTTATTGTTGGGACAAAGTACCTGAGGGAAATAGTTTAAAGCATGAAGGATTTGTTTTGGCTTTTGATTTCAGAACTTTCAATTTATCATGGTGGGTTGGATGTGGTGGAGCAGAGCAGCTCACATCATGGTGGCCAGGAGGCAGAGAGAATGCTATACTATCTGGCTTGCCCCCTTTTCCTTCTTTATTCCACTTGGGCCTCCAGCCTGGAGATGGTGCCTCTGTATTCAGTATTCAATGTGGATCTTCTCCCTTTTGTTAATTTTCTCTGGAAATACCCAATATATACACCTAAGGGTGAGATTTTCTCATTTTCTAGGTGCTTCTTAGTGCAATTAAGTTGACAAAATTGACCATGATGTGGGAGGAAAGGCATGGGTCACTGCAGGGTTTCTGTGTTTTATGTATGACGTTCCTTGTGAGGAACGTTAGTGTGGGTGATGACACTGAAGCTTTGTCATTGTTTCAGAAGAGAAAGTAACATCAACTGTCACACCACAGTGCAGGTGCCTCTTAGCTACTTCCCCTGTGTTACCACATAGTCTGGGAGGCCTCATACCCCGAGTCTTTTCTGGATGTACCACTCTGAGTCTCAGAGATGATAAGCTCACTGCAATATCCTTTGATCTTTGTTGATAAGAATAGAATATGTCATTTCCTATTTTCTCTTTGATCTCTCATTACTTTTAAAAATAAAGTATCAAATTCTGTACAATCAACCTAGATGAACACATTTAAGCAATTCCTAGTTGTTGTACCTGCTGCTGTTTATATTAATGGGTACAGTCTTTCAGGATATTAATCAAAAATAAAAGTTTTGAAAGTTGGGTATAGTGGCTCATGCCTTTAATCCTATCATTTAAAATAAAAATGACTGTAGTGGTTTGTGATTGTTGTATTTAATGATGTAATTTGGGAGGTGAAGGCAGGAGGATCAGGAGTTCAAGGCCATTCTCAGTTATATAGTATGTCTCAGTATATATATATGGGTTACATGAGGTAGTATCTCAGGGGAAAAAAATATTTTAACTTAAGCATCCTGTTAGAATGCTTTGTGCAATTCTGAAAGAAGTAATATATACCTAGAGTGTTTTTTTTTTTTTTTGGAGTGCTTCTGGAAATTACCTAAATGCCCATCAAGAGCTGTTAAATGGAAAGGTGCCTAAGATACATGATTTATGATAAAAAGCCAAATTGTAGATTGGCAAGATATACACTATGAAAAAGTTTCACAGTAGTGTTTCTATCTTGTCCCATTTTTATGCAAAAAGTTAAAATGCACATACTAATCTGGAATCTTAGGCTGCTGGGAACAGATTAGAAATAAAAGAGACAGCCAAGATATGTGCTCTGACTCTTTGCACTGCTGCCTCTGGTAGGCAAGCAAGCTAAGCCTGGTGTCCCTATTTCCTTCCATCTTCCAATCTTCCCAAGTCCACCATCCTGAGGAGTTATTTGCCAGTGTGTCCTCACTGGCCTTTGAGTTCTTACACAGTTAGGAAGATTATGGAAACCCAGAATGGCCAAAGCAGTTCCTAGCTAGCTGAGTCAGTGTCTTTAAGTAGCTTTCCTAGAAATCTAGCACACCTCTCTTGGCTTCTCATTAAGCAGGACTTGACCATGTGACTACAAAGAGCTGGGGAGAACACACAGAATGGGGATCTTTCACTCTGGGTAGTAGTGAGGCTCCTGTTGTTCAGGAGGGCCGGAGTGCTAAATGTTGGGGAAGCCACAGTATTGTCTGTTACTGTTACTAGTGTGTTTGTGTGTGCTGGTGCAGATGTGCCAGGAGCTGTCTGCCAGTAGACCTGGAAGGTGGAATGGGAGGAGAGGAGGGGGGCGGGAGCAGAACTTCTGCATCTTGCCTTGCATTGATCTATACCATTGAATCTTTTCCATGGGTAGGGCTTACTAATGACAATAAAAACAAAGCCAAATAACAGAATACTTGTGGTTTATTAAGGAAAGCACCAGAGCCTTATAATATATTGTACAATCAATAGTGTGTCATGGTTTAGTTGCTAATATTTTTCTTGGTGACAGTAAAATAATTCAATAATTCTTTAAGAATACCTTAGGATGAACCTGAGTTATTTTGGTGTAGGAATAATTCTCTTAGAAGCAAAGAAAAGATGCATTTTGAGAATTAAAAAAAAATTATTAGTAGTGGTCTGTGATTTTTTTACTTGTGTGGTGAGAGTGGCCCTTGATGTGTATTCTCTGTTCCCAAACCTCTGTGTGAATAATCGTTGAAGCTTTCTTCTGGTTTCTTTTCTATTTTTTTAAATTTTTTTTACGTTAACATGCAAGTAGGTTTCATTACAGCATTTTCATACACAAATGTCAATACTTCATCCATATTCACCCCCTGCACCCTGCCCTCCTGCCTTTCTCTTCCTGGTTCCCTTCTTCCACCCAAATAGACCCCTTTTGCTTCCACATCTGCTGAAAGGTGGGAAAGTCTCCATGTAGTCCCTTACTCTTCATGTTGTCCTCCCTCCCTTAAGATCATTTTTCTCACCTTTCAGAGTTCCCTTTCTACCTCTTTCATCACACACACACACACACACACACACACACACACACACACACACACAGTTTAGAGTGCAGATGTGAGAGAAAAATGTGGTATTTGTCATTCTGAGTGCTCATTTCTAGTTGCGTACATTTTCCTGCAGATGCTATGATTTCATTCTTCAGGACTGGATAAAATTCCAAGTATACCACGTTTTCTTTACCTGTTCATCTGTTGATAGGCACCTAGGCTGGTTCTTAGCTGTTGTGACTGCTGCAGCTATAAACATGGATGTGCAAGTATCTCTGCTGTTTTAGGTTTGAGTATATACCCAAGTGGTTTAGCTGGGATATAGGGAAGTTTTGTTTTTAGACTTTGAGGAACCTCCACACTGACTTTTGTTGTTGGTTGCACTGGTCTACATTCTCACCACTAGGTGGGTTCTTCTTTTTCCACACACTTGCCAGCATTTGATTGTTGTTCCCACTAGGGTGATATGGAATCTCAAAACAGTTTTAATTCTTACTTTCCTGATGGTTAAGGACATATAATACTTTTTAAAATATTTATTGGCCATTTAAATTACTTCTGTTGAAACTTTCAACTAATGTTAAGCCTTTGGTATCATTGAGAAATACCTTGTTTTAAGGAATAAAGTTGGAAGTAGTGAAAAAATACAAACACACACACATATACATATTTCATTGATATATGTGTATTTCTATATGTTCATGAAGGTTTACATTTGCATAGGATGACAACATTTTCAGGACTCCAGCAGTGGCTTAAAATCTCTAAAATGTAATACGGTACACTCAACATCATTTTGAGTGGTTCTGTTCTACCAAAGAGTTGTATTTTCTACTCAAAGAGCCTATTCAGTGGAAAGTGTTCAGAGATTGGGACATAGAACCACTGAAGATTCTCTCAAGTCTTGTTGTAAATTAAGCTGTATGACTCAAATGACTTTGTAAGCCCTAAATAGCTGAAAAGTGTACATGGTGTGTGGCTGATCTCACTGAGCTGGTGAAGAGGTTGCAGGCTCTGTTCAGCCTCTCATGAACCTCGTTCCATAACTCCCTTTCTCCCACTCTTTCTTAAGCATTTGCAGCTTCCATTGCCCTCTCCAAGTCTAATTTCTCCCACCATGTTTCCCCTTCAAGTGATATCCACAGAGTATCTAGCATGTATTAAAGACAAGGTGTCCAGGGTGAAACAGTCCAGCCCAGGAGTCACATTGTGTAAAGACCTATAGTCACAAATTCTGTTCAGTGTTTTCACTGGAACTGAAGGGGTCTGACTTTTTTCTCTTTCCCTGTGTTTTGAGTGGTGATTATCTGTCACAATTAATTTTTCTCTCTATTCCTTGGCAGCATCTCTTGGGGAGTCAGCAGCAGTCCTCTGTCCAGCTCTGGGTCTCCTTTGGTCGGAAACCTATGAGAGCAGCTCAGTTTGTCACAAGACATCCTATTAACGTGAGTGGGGTCTGCTGGAGGGTGGGAAGAAGTCTTACTGTCTCTATGCAGAGGTTGGAGGGAGGGAATGTCCTGCTGGCGTGGACATTTTACAGAGGCTGTCTGAAGCCACTCTCCAGAGGCACCTTTGGAGAGAAATATCATGCTCTGGGCTTGTTGGTCTGCTGTTGACTGCTTCTCTGTTTGAAGTGGAGCTAAACAGGATCATTTACTTTCTTTGAGTAGGATTGGCAGAGGGGTTGGCACCAGAGAGAGTGGCCTCATGTGCTAGTCCTGAAGGAATGGGAGACTTGTGCATAGCACTTACTTATTAACAACCTGCTGTATTCCTTGCAGATAGCTAGGTTCCAACAGCGGATAGATTTGCGTGCTGCCTTGTAGAAATAGACATGTTGGAAAGACCAAAAAAGAACATAGTCAGAGCTTGAATGTATTCAAGTATTAGCACACACAGATTGCTAGGAAAGATCAGTATGCATCATCAGGGTAATGACCATAGAGAGGAGGTTGCTTTGGAAGGCCTCTTGATATAAGCAGTTGGTTTGGTAGGTCATTAGTAGCCCAGGGGTATAAGAACATGATTAGCAGCTCTTTGCTAGGTTCTATGGGTTCTGCCTTCCTATAATATCTCTGTAGGAAAAGAAAAGGAAATAAAATTGTGTTAATCTATATTGTGCTTTGTGCTAACAAAAGGTCACCTGGGGAAAATGGGGAGATGTTATTATGAAAAAGAGGTTTCTAGGTCATTTATGGAGGTCAGAGACCCATTCTTTTCTCTGACTTTGCCAGCAGACTCCATCTTCAGACCAGCCTTAGGTAGTTGGAAAATCATTACAGCTTCCTTACGTAGGTTGGGCCCTCTCTGTGGCCTTTACATCTGCTTTCATCACTGTGACATTTGGAAGTTATTGCTTTCATCTGTATATAAAAAATACACAAGGTGTTAATTTTTTTAAATTTTTTTTTTTTTTTTTACTTGTGTGTTTCCTGACTTTGGATTCCAAAGGAATATTACATCGCAGATGCCTCAGAGGATCAGGTGTTCGTGTGTGTCAGCCATAGCAACAACCGCACTAACTTATACATCTCAGAGGCAGAGGGGTTAAAATTCTCCCTGTCCTTGGAGAACATCCTGTATTACAGCCCAGGAGGAGCCGGCAGTGACACCCTGGTGAGGTAAGGAGACTGCGGCCTCCTCCCCTGTCTTCTTGGGTCAATGAGGCCACTCCTTACCTCAGTGCCTTGCACTGTTAGCTGCACATGTGGCCTCACTTAAGGTGCTTTCCAAGTGCCTACCATTCCCAGCTCTGGTGCCCACAGATTGGAATTGCATTGGTCCAGTGTCTGGTCCAGGTTCTCCCCAGGTGGTTTTCTGTATAGCCAAGACCGAGAGCTACTGTTCTAGGTAACATTTAAGACTGCAGCTACTCTGTTAAGTATTCCTATGGGCTGTCATGATTCAGTTACCCGATTTTATGGTCTTGGAGCCCATGATAAAGAACACTTGGAAGATACCATCATGTCAGGGAACATAGGCATATGTGGCTGTGAGACTCTTTGACATTGTGACTCTTTTTTAGAGGTGATTATAAGGTGGTGATTTATAGAAAGGCCTGAGAGTTGTTGCTTCTTTATCTGGAAGTCACAAGTGGAGGGCTGTTGTATACCCCTAGTCCTGGGTATTTTGTGAGTACGACATTCACAGGCTTGTGAACAGTTGGGATTTGGGAGGGATAAGCAGATTCTTAAGCTCTTTCAGTGCTATAAATGTATTTATTCCAAACTTTTTAATATGCGTGGCTATGGCAGTATTCACACTCTGCTCCTGGAAAGAACTGCCTGGGTGAAGCTGGCTGACTGGTCTGGGGTGAGGCCTGCCCTGGGGCCATGACTACCAGGTGCTAGGACATGTGCCCACTGACCACTGCCTCTCCTTGTGCTAGACAGTCATTCAAACACAAATTCATTGTACAGAACATTGGTGCTTTGGGCTAGGAGTGTGTTCTAGGTATCCCAGTGAAGTCATGTAGACAACAAGGTAAAATCAGACCAATGTTCCCACTCTGTGGAGCTTTTGTTCAAGGCAGGGGAGACAGAATATGAACGTGTACTCTGCTGGGAAGAAAGATAAAGCAAGACAAAGGGCATGCAGTTCTGAGAGTGGTGCCCTAGATAGGCTGTTCCAGGAGGGCGGCATTTGAGCAAGTGTCTGAGGGAAGGAGCCAGGCAGACAACCAGAGGAGAACCCAGCAGGCAGGGCTTCATACAGAGACTTGAGGTGTGACTGGAGCATTGTGCCTGAGGAACAGCTTTCAGTTGCTGAAGGAAGGGAAAGAGAAGAGGGCAGGATTCCAGAGAGCAGACTGAAACAGTGTAGGGCCTTCAAGGGCAGGCAGAAAACTTTAATTTTCCTAACAGCTAAGATAGGCTTCATCTGACTTACTGTGTTAATTATTTTCCTATTTTAAAAAATTGTGACTCGCATTATGTGCTGGATAGCTTTAGTGTCAACTTGACACACCTGGATTGAGGGAGCCTCAATTGGAATTGCTTTCATTGGACTGGCTTGTGCATGTCCATGGGGCATCTTGATTGTTGAGTGAGGTAGGAGGGCCCAGTCCACTGTGGGTGGTGCCACCCCTGGGCAGGTGGGCCTATGTTGCATATGAAAGCAGGTTGAACAAGGGCCAGGGAAGCAAGCCAGTAAGAGGCCATTCCTCCATGGCCTGTGCTTCAGCTCCTGCCTCCATGTTCCTGCCTTGAGTTCCTATTGTGGGCTCCCTGATGAACTGTGACCTGGGAGATGTAAGATAAATAAACCCTTTCCTCCCCAAGTTGGTATTGATCAGAGTGTTTTGTCATAGCAATGGAGAAACAAACTAAGACACATTATATCAAGAAAAGTGCAGAACACATAAATGGATAGTAGAATAAATAATTTCAAGTGAATGCCTGTGTGCCTTATTTTTGATAGAAGGTATCCTTAATGCTGAGAGGAGGTTTGGCTGCTTAGGGACAGGGTAGGAACAGGAAGTCTGATTGTGAAAATGTAGAGATCCAGGCCATCTGGGATTGGTGTCGACTGCACTCAGTGTGGTTGCATTGCAGATTGCAGAAATAGTCAGATTCTAAAGGTATTGTGAAACAGAGGCTGCAATCTGCTGATGGGTTGGGCAATGAAGGGCATGTGACGAGGACCTGGGAGGACCAATATTGCCTGGCCTGAGCCATTGCAGGACAGTGGCTGTCATGGAGAGGCAGGGAGGGCTGAGGGAAGGATGAGAAGTTGTGAGTTCAGGTTTGGATTTCTTAGGGCAGACTTGCCTGGTAGATAGATATTTAAGTGTTAAACTTTGTGCTTTTCCACCTCTTATTTCTCTCCTTTGTTTGTGTGTTTGTTCATCCTGCTTCTCCCCCTGATACAAACTAGGAAATTTTTATTGTTTGATGTGTTATGAATGCTTCTTGCTTATGGTTCCTTAACTGTTCACCTTGTCCTGATTTGTATGGTGGCAACTCATGGATTCTTCAGGCTGGTTCCTATGTCTTAAAAAATTTTTTAATTTTATGTGCATGTATGTAAGCACACCTGTGTCGTGCAATGTAGAGGCCTGTAGAGGTCAGAAGACGGCGTTGGATCACCTGGAACTGGAGTTAGAGACAGTTGTTAGCTGCCATGTGGGTCCTGGGCATGGAACCCAGGTCCTCTTCAAGAGCAGTCAGAGCTCTTAACCATTGAGCCCCTCCTGTGTCTTTTTTTTTTTTTTTAAATCATTGTTCTTTTGTTTTCCAAAAGAACTTATTAAGATGAGAGTCACATGATACAGACTTAACCACTTAAAGTGAACAGTTCAATGACTTAGTTCATATTGTGGATTTTAGTGTGTAGTGTTGTGCATATACCACTTCTTTCTAGTTCTAAAATGTTTTCATTTCTCCAAGAGGAAGTCCCATCCCCATTGGGCATTTCCTTCCCACTATCCCCTTCTCCCAGCCCCTGGCAACCATCAATCCAATTTTTGTCTCTGGATTTACTTTTTCTCAATATTTGATATACGTGGACTCATACATTAATATGTGGCCTTTGTGTTTGGCTTCTTTTAGCATGTATTCAGATTCATCCACATGGACTATATGTTAGAACCTTATTCCTTTTTGTAGGTGAATAACAGACTTTACTTTTTAAATTTAGCTCATGAACTGTTGTCCCCCAGCTCTTCCCCTGACCCTTTGAATTTCCCGTCCTTTGGAGATGTCCCTCTCTGTTGAACGAAGTGCAGCTTGCTTATGTTCTCTCCCTCAGATATTCAGATGAATCCCTCATGGTAGGGCAGTGTGGGTGCCATGGCCTGGAGAAGAGGACTTCCAAGGAAGTAGTGACCTCAGTTGTGTGATTCTAGGGCCACTTCAAACATAAAGACTGCCCTTTACTTGTGACAGTTTCCTCTTACACTGCCAGATTGTACTGTCTACTTGAGAAATTCAAAATAAATTCACGTTAAGAGTTGTAGGCCAACATCCTTTTCAGGTTCTTCTTAATTCTCCTCAAATTTTATCTCAGGGTAGCAGGGGTTCAGATGTGCTCAGTTCAGTGACACTTTATCTTTTGTGACTCAGCCTCAACCAGATGAAATGAGATAAGGGTAAGTTAGCAGATGATGTGGGTAGGCTAGTTTAGAATAAGCTTCTGTGGTATTTGAAACGAACCATTCTCTGAACTAAGTAGGACAGTGTGGTGCTGAGGAATTGGTTCTAATTTCCTTAAAGAAATGGAGAAAGAACTCTTAATAGGGGATTACGCTGGTATATGTGGGATGTGCTTGTAGGAATCTCATGGAAAGCCATAGCCAGTTGTACGACTTGTTATAGGAACTAATGTGCTAACCACATGGCAGACCCCTGGGGGCAACTTAAGGAGGAACATTTGGCTTAGGTGGTGGGAATGGATGCCTGTGTGAATTTTGCCTGGCGGGGGGCGGGGGGGGGCGTATGTCTGAAGAGGTATCTGGTGAACTGCCTGACAAGTCTCAGCCCAAGGCACACAGGAAGGAGGGAGAGATGTGCTTGGGAAGGGCTGGTGAGGACAAGATGGAAGAAAATGGACTGTTTCAGAAGAGAATACTGTGAGATTAGTTGTTCCAGGGCAAGTCAAGGTGGGAAAATGAGAGTCTGGTCTGCAGCTAATGTAGGGTTGTGAGGGGCAAGGCCTCTGCATGGAAGTAAAAGATAACATGGAATATGAGGAAGGGAAAGAAACAGGGCTTGTCTGAGAGGAACCCAGACTATACAGATGTGGGTTAGAAGCCAGTGAGCCTTAGGACTGGATTTCATGAGTGCAGAGTCAAAGACAGGAGATCTGAGGTAAACAGAGCAGAGGGCTGTAGATCTTCAGCTGATTCCCAGGGGAGCAACTGAAAAACGGCTAAAAGAGACCCGAGGAATCATCCTCAGAAGATTTGGTCTCAACCTCAGCATTTTATTTGAGATTTTTCCCAGTCTGTCATTACAGAGTGACTTTGCATCCTGCTGTGGAGATTGCTGTGTGCTGCCCTGTCTGAGGTTGCCAGAGCAATCATCCAGCTCAGGAGATTTGTACGACAGATGATGGAAAAAAAGCCGTTTCTGCTTTATTGTGCAGCCGTGGATCAGAACCCCTGAAATAAAGGGCACGGTTCCAGTTTTAAAAGCCACATGTGAACAGAGGTTACCATTTCTCAGAGATGTTGTATTTGCAGTGGGTGTGCCAGTTTAGTGAAAAACCTCCTTCCAGTGAAATCTTGGCAATTAGGGCCTGGGAGGGCCTTACTCTCCTATCAAGAACCATCTTTTTTCTCTGAACTCTTCTTTGGGAATCAGCAATCGATGCTGGTAGCTCTCTCAACAGAAAACCCTGTGGTGTTTAACAGCTAGGTTGTATTATCCAGCCAGTGGCTATGTAACCCTTAGCTATAGTTCTACGGATTTGGTTAGCCTGTACATCTCTGCATCAATAGTGGTGCCTTGAGCATCTGGCCCAGTGTTTCTTGTTTTTCAAAGCTTATTGAAGGATTTGAATCAGCTTCCATAGTGAAGATATAGGTGTGATTCTGTCAGCTTTTTGACATCTTCTCCATTCTAAACCTCCTGTTAGGAGTTGTTGATTGGCTAAGTGTCTTGGCCCTTAAAAACAATGACTTTTTAAAAAAAGGAGCAGGTTATTTAGGTATAAAAACGATATCTAGATAGGCTGACTAGACTCCAGTGGATGGACTTGCACCTGAAGGACATCTGGGTACAAATGCTTGACTAGGTAGGACTTGACATGTACAGTGGAATGCATGAGGGGCACATATGGGGGCGGGGTCTAGATTTGATTAAGAACTGCTGTATGAAATGAACAAAGGCTCAATAAAAAATTCAAAACAAAAGAAATGAAGTATGGGTACATGCTACATGGGTGAACCTTGAAAATGTAATTGAAAGCAACCAGATATAAATGGCCACATATTGCGTGATTCCATTTATATGGAATACCAAACCTGGCAGATCTATTGAGATAGATCCGTAGAGGCAGAAAGCAGATCTGTGGTTGCCAAAGCCCAGAAACAGAGGGAGAAACAGACAGTGCCTGCCAATAATGAAAATGTTCTAGAACTCACATTGCACAACATTGTGAATGTACTTAATGCCATTCCATTGCGTGCTTTAAGATGGTTCAGTATTATGCTGCTTTAAATAAAAATGTCAAACAATACCAACCCTGGTTTACAGCTGGATATTTTCTTTTTATTGTAGGTATTTTGCAAATGAGCCATTTGTTGACTTCCACCGTGTGGAAGGGTTACAAGGGGTCTACATTGCTACTCTGATTAATGGTTCTATGACTGAAGAGAACATGAGGTCGGTCATCACCTTTGACAAAGGGGGAACTTGGGAATTTCTTCAGGCCCCAGCCTTCACAGGATATGGAGAGAAAATCAATTGTGAGGTAGATACTTTAATCTTGTTTGGCTCTTTTGATATAAAGAAAAGAGTTGTTGTGTGTAGTAGTTTTCTACATTTATTATTTCCAGGAAAAAAATGTAAGATGCCATAGTACTCTGTTAATACTACATGAAACAAACTTCACTTGGCATTTCTGCTCTTTTACGTCCCCAGGCTCTATCTATAAGGAGGCATTGAGGGATGCTCTGTTGAACTCAACAGTGGTGTCATGGATATTAAAATTTTTTCTTGTGGTGTTGGGGACTGAACCCAAATATCACACAGGTTAAAGCAGGGTTCTACTGCTGAGCTACACCCTTGGCTTAATATGTACATGTTCCTTTTTTCTTTTGGAAATGCCAGGAATTCATTATGTAGTCCTACCTGACCTCAAACTGGCAGTCCTCCTGCCCTAGCCTCCTGAGTGCTAGGAGTGCTGGGATTATGTTGTGTCACAGTCAGCTTAATTTTAAATGTTTGAGGGAAGCAACCTTAATACCCAACATTTGTTGGACATTACATTAATTGCTTGACTAACTAGCTGGAGTCAGTTTACAGGTTCAACATTAGGCATCTTGTTTCTTTTGAGGACATCATATCTTTGGGAAGCTGGATTTTCAGGAGTCGATGTGATGAAAGACCAAGTGAGAAAATCAGGACAGCTTAATTTTAAATGTTTGAGGGAAGCAACCTTAATACCCAACATCTGTTGGACATTACATTAATTGCTTTACTAACTAGCTGGAGTCAGTTTACAGGTTCAACATTAGGCATCTTGTTTCTTTTGAGGACATCATATCTTTGGGAAGCTGGATTTTCAGGAGTCGATGTGATGAAAGACCAAGTGAGAAAATCAGGGTGGAACAGGAAATGAGGAGTAACATCCATATGATTCCAGTGTTTGAGAAATTGTCTCATGCCCAGCAGGTGCATGAATTCCATTAGTAGGAATTATGGCTACTAAAAAATGAAATGTGTTTTTTCCAGTTTATATATACTACTGTTTTAAACAGTTGCTTTGCTGTTAGAGGATACACACACACACACACACACACACACACACACACACACACACACGCGCGAGTTGTTTAGACTTAGCCAAAAAATACATACTGGTATTATATTTCTTCTGGCCTGGAACTCCTATAAAATAACTGACTACAATACCAATTTTGTTTGGAATCAGTGCTTATGAATTTATTGCATGAGTGTAGTGTTCTCTGCTGATGAGTCTATCTGAAAAGCTAGGAATATAAAGTGTATTTCTTGGTCCTCCTTTTAAGGTTTTCATAAGTTGGTGTGGTCCCTGGGCTGTGCTTCCTGGCCTGGTGTGACACCCACATCTTTATTTCTGTTTCACTGAAGGAATTCAGTGGGCAGTGATGTCCCTGTGTTCCTTACCTGTGACTCTTAGGAAAGTTCTTTTGGAGATTCTTGCTGTAGAATGTACTTCTGGCCATGGATCTTGATTTACCACATGGAATCTAAGTTTAGAAAGAGGCAGGCTATAAATATACATGGGTAAACACCTAGACACGCCCCCCTCCCTCAGTAATGTTCAGGACCTCAGCAGCTTAGTTCATCTTGATGTAGATGTGTCTAGGTAGTTTTGAACATGCCATGAAAGGGAAGAACTTGGTTAAATAGATTTCATGGTATTGTTAAAAAAAATCTGCTTTTTATTTTCTCTGATCAGCTTGTGAACTGTCAGGCAGTTAATCAGCTTTCAGTTTCTACTTCTCAGTTTAGATGGTGTATTGGTTATTCTCTTTTTGCTGTGACCAAATACCTAATAGGAAGCAGCTAAGGAAGGAAGTGTTTATTTCAGTTCAGAAGACTGAGGATACAGTTCATCACGGTGGGAAAGTTCAATGCTGGTGCTTAGCTTCCTTTTTTTTGTCCTCCCTTTCTATTCATGAAGGGACCCCAGTCCATGGGATGGTGCTACCACATTCATGGTGGGTCTTCCCTCCTCAGTTAACCTTCTCTTTGAACTCCCCCACAGACATGCCAGGGGTGTGTCTTCTAGGTGACCCCAAATCTAATCAAGTTAGCAATGAAGATTAACCATCAAGAGTGGTTTGTTAGAGTTCTGTCACCATTACATAATGCCAGAGAAGGTATAAAGCCAAAAGACTTATTTTGGCTTGTGCTTTAAGAGGTATCAGTAGTTTTAGTCTGTGGTTGCTTGGGCTTGTGATAAGGCTTGAACATCATGGTGGGAATACATGGAACAAATTTGCTTGATCATGGTAGCCAAGAAAGAGCAAAAAGCTCTCATCACAGCTAGAGAGGAAGGGGGCAAGGCCCTTCAAGGGCACCCTCTAACAGCATAACTTCCTTGCATTAGGCTCCTCCTTCCACAATCTGGTGATCAAAGTTCAATAACATGGGAGATATTTCAATCCAAACCGTAACAGATGGTTTAAAGAACATGTAAGAATCTTTATGATTAAAGTTTGATTATCTAAGGATCTAAAAATACTTCTAAGAATTAACCTCCTTATGGATAAAATAACAGGAGTCAAAAGAGGAAATAATCAAGGAACTATTTCTTTGAGCCAACCTAGCTTCTCCATTTTCATCAGCCAGTCTGGGAAGCTATCAAGGTAGGTATTTGTTAGATCCTTTTGTGATAAACAGAAGTAGTGTGAACAAACCTTGTCATTGTTTTCACCTGTGCCATGGACACAGACTGAGTTCACCTACTTGGACCACTTTGAATACATCTGAATAACCTTGGGCAATCATTTTTCTGGCCAGAAGAATGAGGCAGGACCATACAGAAAAAGCTTTGTGGCTCTGTCGGCATCTGAATACAGCGATGAGGCTGGTTCCAGTGACATGAAGCCTTGCACTATAGGCCCACATCTTTGTATAAATGTAGAAGTTGCATTTAAAATTTTTATGTGGGGGACTGGAAGGATGGCTCAGCGGTTAAGAACACTGGCTGCTCTTGCAGAGGACCTGAGTTTTGTTATTATATATCCACATGATGGTTAACAACTGCCCATAACTCCAGTTTCAGAGGCCACCCTCTTCTGGCCTCCAGGGACATTGCATGCATGGGTGCATCTACACACTTGCAGGCAAAATACTCACACACCTAAAAATATAAATAAGTAAATAAAAATTTTAAAAAATTATGTGGCCCCTATGGCCCTCTCACATAGTGTATGTCTGGGAGCTAATCAGTGAGACTTTGTGACTTCAGATTCTTTTTCTTCTGACAGAGTTTCTAGAATCATATTTCAAACAGATTATCACTGGCTTAGAAAATAAATAACATCACTTCCCTTCTCTTTAGCCTCAGAAGGATCTCAGTCAGGGTGATGTGGGGAGGGGGTGTTTCTTCTCTACTTGAGTTGACATTGCTTTATAATTTTATCCCTGGGAGTCTCAGGAATTTAAATTTTTTCTCTTTTCTCCAGTGGTAGATGTGTATATGGGTTCAGCTGGGTTGTGAGTCTGCTTTCCTTTGAGTCAGACCCTGTTCTGGGTCTTGCTGTGGGGTCCTCCACAGACCTCTAGACTTGAGAGAGATCTACATATGTGTTGCATGCTGATACCTCCTGGAACTTTCTTTCTATAGCTTTCCCAGGGCTGTTCCCTCCACCTGGCCCAGCGCCTCAGTCAGCTGCTCAACCTCCAACTCCGGAGGATGCCCATCCTGTCCAAGGAGTCAGCTCCCGGTCTCATCATTGCCATTGGTAAGTATGCCTTGCCTGATCTCATGGAGGCTTTGATGAGCTGGTGATGTGCAGCCACGTACAGAGGGATCACCCACACCTCTAATGGTGACCACTCCTTCTGGCTTTAAGACATTTCTTTATTATGAGTTGGGCAAAATGATTTATGACATATTTGAACAAAAAGCCATTCTTCCTCTTGTATTTTAGGCTCAGTGGGAAAGAACTTGGCCAGCAAGACCAATGTGTACATCTCAAGCAGTGCTGGGGCCCGGTGGCGAGAGGTTGGTCCCTTTCCCTGGAGTTCCTGTCTGTGTGAGCGTGTGGATTGCGCATCGATGTTCCAGGGACACAGTGGAGGCCTATGATGTCTCTTGTGATGATACAGACAATCACCACTCGACCCAAGAGTTTGCTGCATGCCTATGTCCTCACGCCCTGTAACATGCACTTGTGATTTTTGCTAAAATATCACTTTTAATATAAAACAGAACTTTTCCATTTTTATTAGCAACAATTGTGAATTTGACCAATTTTTCTAAGATTATACACTCCATCAGGGCAAATACAATATCTATTTTGCCTGCTTCTTTATCCCTGGGTTGCAACAGTGTCTGGCAGAGAGCAAGTACCCAGGAAACAGTTGATGAATGTATCAGTGAATTGCAGTGTATTGTGGTAGTGTTGGGTGGATGTTAGAGAATTCCCAAACTTAGTAAAAAGTGTTTTAGCCTCCCATTTATAAGGCCAAAGGAAGTGTGTGCAGTCCTACTCTCAATGGGTGACTGTGTGTCCTGACTCTGAAGATGGTTCCCAGCATCCTCAGCGGATCACTGGACAGGAACTTATGCAGCACCATGTCAGAGTGATGTGCTTCTCACGGAGCCAGCAGCTGTAGCTCCCTTCCTCATAGTGCTAAATGAGAATGCTGCATGATGCTCTCACATTTAAATCTGTACTATGCAGAGCAATAATACCATGATTTGCTTGGCTCTAGGCAGTTGGCGAGATTGTTCTTTACTTTATGTGTGGCTGGGGTTAGCAATCTCCAAATGAGAGATCCAGGGCACTGTGTGTGTGTGTGTGTGTGTGTGTGTGTGTGTGTGTATGTGTGTGTGTATGTCTTTGGGTAGGTGTGCTCTTGCATATGTGTATGTGTGCATACTTGCATGCATATGTAATGTTAAGGGCTGTTCCTATCATGGTAGAAAACACAAGATCCCTGTTCAGGTAAAGGAAGCAATCAGGACACAGTGGTCAGAGTTCAAGGTTTGGAATTTTCAAGGCATCCTTGTTCTGTCCAGCAGAGAAGATGGAGCAGCTGCCTCCCTGTACTTAGAGCTGACTCTCCTTTGGGAGTGGGGTGCATTCTCATCTGAGGAGAAGCCTATGGGTCGTTTGTGCCTTCTGCTCCTGGTGTCAGTTGAGCTTGGAACATCTGCAAGTGATTTCCTTTGAGTAAAGAGCTGTGTCTTGCTCCTCCTATAGTGGAGTGGTGTCGCCTGGCTGTTGCCAGGGCAGCTGTTGGAGCCTCGCTCCAGGCATGTTTAATTCCTGCCAGGAAGTCGTCAGCACCCAAGGGACCTTGTGTGGGAACTAGCAGAGAAATAACTGGGATGAAAGGTGGACACTGTACCTGTGAGAGAGTGTCTGAATCCCTGTGGGAAGCCTTTACCACAGAGGCACTGTGTGGGGTGTGCAACCACCACCTGCATTGGGGGAGGAAGGAGGATGCTGTGGACAGAATGCCGCCATGAGTGCTGATGACCACCCTTCTGGTGGCCCTCCAGCTAACTAGTTGTACAAATTCTTTGATCCTCGTAATTCCTTTCTTGCACTTTCTTCTGTAAGAACTCTATTGAGGTCTGTGGAAGAACAGCAAACCCCATGTTTAAAGTGTTCAGTTTGAAGGAAGGCACTCCCCCGCATTGCCAGAAAACAAGCATGGCTGGCTCCCATCCCCCAAGCGTCTCGATACTGATACTGCATGTATGCTTTTTGCCTGGCTTCTGTCACTTAACTGAGGATTTGAAACTTACACATATGGCTTCATTGTCAGAAGTTGCTTCATGTTTCTTTGCTGAATTGCATCCCCCTGTAGGGATACATTACAGTTTGTCTATCCATTGTCTATTGACGGACATCCCGGTTTTTATTACAAATATAGATGTGCTATACATTCATATACCATCTTTTTTCTTTTTATGAGACAGGATCATCCTGTAGCCCCAGCCGACCTGGAACTGGCTATGTAGAGCAGGCTGGCCTGGATCCCACAGAGGTTTGCCAGCTGCTGTCTCCTGAGTGCTGGGATTAGAGGCACATGCTATTATACCCAGCTCATGTACATCTTTTTAATGTGGATGTGCTTTTTCATTTCTCTTGGGCAAATAACCTAGGAATGAGATGGCTCTGCAGGGTGATAGGTATATTGAACTTTTTGAGCCACCAGGTTGTTTTCCGAAGTGCATATACCACTGTAAATTTCCACCAGTCCCATGAATTCTTGATTGTCTGCCTACTTGTCCACACTTGGAATAGTCAGCCTTTTTAATTGCAGACATCTTATTTTTCTCCCATGCATTTTTATGAGTTCTATAGTTTTAGTTTATGTTTACATATATGAATCATTTTGAGCTAATTTTTATAAGTGGCATAAAGGAAAGGGTTGATACTCAATTTTTTCATATCACAATACAGTCGATCCAGTATTTGAAAACATCCTTACTTATGCGTTTTATCCATTCATTGTGAAGACTTATCTTCCTCCTGTTCAGTTACCTTCATACCTGTTTGAAAGTCAATGTGTCACGTATGTGGGTTGTATTTCAGGGCTTTCTATTTTGTTCCCCTGAACTACAGGTCTGTCTTTTCACCAATACCATATTGTCTTGATTACCAAAGCTTTACAGCGAGTGTTGAAATCAATTAGGGTTAGGCCTTCATCATTGCTTCTGTTCAAAATTGCTCCTGTTATTTCAACACCTCCATATACATTATAGAGTGACCTTGTCAGTTTTGCTAGGATTGTGATTTGGGACCCATTATGTTTATAGATCAAATTGAGGATAAATTGACATCCTGATAACACTGAGTCTTTTGATCCATGATTGTAGTATATCCATTTTCTCCATGCCTTCTCGAATTTTTCTTAGCATTTTGAAGTTTTTAGTGTAGAGGTTTTGTTTGTAATTTTGCTAGGTTGCTCCTCCTGCTTCTGCCTCCAGAGTGCTGGGATCTCAGACACACGTCTGACTTGATATATCTTTTTTGTTTTCAGTGCTGAAGATTGAACCCTGAATCTTATACATGCTAACCAAGTGCTCCGTTGAAATACATCCCCGGCCCTGTATATATTTTATTAGACTTATTCTTAGATTTCAAAAAATTGGTATTATTGTAAATGGAGCTTTTTTTAAAGTTTTTTTTTCCCCCAGATTTTTGTGCTAGTATAGTTTAGTGCTATTGATTTCTGTATCTCTGACCTTGCTAAAGGAATAGATTTGTTTCAGTTAGTTGTCTTGTATATAGATTTTTATAAGCAATCACACCAGATGGAAAGAAGGCAGTTTAATTTCTTCCTTTCTGATCTTTTATTGAAAGTCTTTATTTCAGTCTTCTTGCTGCCCCCCCCATGTTTCTCTATTTTTTTCTTCCTTTCTTTCTTACTATAGTGGCTACGACATCCATACAGTGTGGAAGAGAGGTAGGAACAGTGGGCATTTGTGCCTGCTCTCTGTATAGGGGGAAGCAGTTCAGTTTTTTTTTCTAAAAAATCTTTACTTATTTATTTATTTGGACATAGGGTCCCTCTCTGTAACCCAGGCAGGCTGGCCTTTCATGCCTCCTGCTTCAGCCTCATGTATCGTGGGAAGTGTACACCTGTTCACAAAATATGCTCTGATACATGGATATATTATATCAATATATATTTTCTATGTATTCTATCAAAATGGAGAAAAATCCATGTTATTCCTAGTCTATTGAAAACTTTTTTTTGAAACTCATAATTGGATATTGAATTTTGTCAAATGCCATTTAAAGAAATCTTATTTATTATTTTTATTTTATGTGTATGAGTGTATTGCATGAATGTAAGTGCACCTGTGTCATGCATGCATTGCCTGCCCAGGTCAGAAGGAGGCATCAGTTCCTCTGGAACTGGAGTTACAAGTGGTTGTTAGCCATCATGTGGGTGCTGGGAATCAAACATGGGTTCTCTGCAAGAGCAGTATTGACTCTTAACCACTGAGCCATCTCTCTTGTCTCATCAAATGCTGTTTTTATGTCAGTGTCCTGGTGTAGATTTTCTTTGTTACTATGATGGATTACATTGGATGGTTCTTGAACATTAAACCAGCCTTCAATTGTAGAATAAATTGCACTTGGTCATGATGTAGTATCCTATTTAAATATAGCTCGGTTTGAGTTGCTAAAATTCATAAGGATTTCTTTGTGAGAAATATGAGTATGTAACTTTTTGTTTGTAATATCTTTATCAAGTTTTAGTGTCAGAGTCTGGCTGTGTCATAAGATGAGCTGGCTGGCTGTCCCTCTTCCTTCGTTTCTCATCTGCCAGTGTTATCTTTTTATGTAATTCACCAGTGATGTTATTTAGGGATGGAGCTTTCATGGAATATTTTTGATGAGATACTTTCTGAAGTTATGCATCACTATTCAGATTTTCAGTGTTGGAGAATTCTTGTTTCCTTAATGTCTGCCGTCTTTGGTGATAGTTTCATTCCCGAGATGGGTGGTTTGTCTACTTTATTAACTTTCCCCTTATTTTGCTCTTTCTGTGTTTTTAGGCCACTTACTTTAGACCTTTTCTAATATGAACATCAAAGGCTTTACATTTTCCTCTGGATGCTTACCCGTTCATTGATACATCTATTACTGTCCATTTACTTTGTATTTACCTGTGTCTTTATATTTAAAGGCATTTCTGTAGGCAACATACAACCATGCTTGTTTTTAAATTTTAAAAATTACAATTATTTTGGGGTACATGTGAAGGTCGGAGGATGACTTGCTAGAGTTGGTTCTCTCCTTCCACCCTCTGGGTCCTGGGAATCGAATTCAGGTTGTTCTGGTTTAGAAGCAAGCACCTTTACCGCTGGAGCTGTCTTGCTAGCCCTGGGTCTTGCTTTTCTATTCATTCTGCCATTCTGCCATTGAGATGGTCACTCTACATGTAGTCCAACGTTGGCTTTGAACTGGAGATCCTCCTGCTTCAGCCTTCCAACTGCTAGGATTACAGATGTGTACCACTGTGCTTCCTGCTCCAAGCTCTGCTTTTAACTGAAGTTCTTAGACCTTTTTAACATTTAATGAAATCAACTGAAATTTTGTTTAGTATTTTTATTATTTATTTTATTTGTTTTGTCATTTTTTTTTGAGGTAGGGTCTCCCTGTAACCCCAGATGGCCTGAAACTTGCTATGTTGACCAGACTGACTTGTATCTCACAGAGATCTGCCTGCCTCTGCCTCCTGGGTGCTGAGACTAACGGCATGTGCCACTAAGCTGGTTTTATTATTAATTTTCTTTATATCCCTTTTGCTGTTTCTCTGATCCTTCTTTCTCATCTCCTTTTACATCATTTAGATTTCTTTTTGGCTATGCTGTGGAGTGAACCCAGGTTGTTGTGCGTATTAGGCAGATACTACTGTTAAGCTACGTCTCCAGCCCCAAGATGTTTTTATCTGTCTTTTTGTATTTTTTTTTTCTTTTCTTTTAATGGTCACTCTGAAGAGTAAAATCTGTATATCCATTCATTCATTGACTTGACACTAAACTTACTGTAAAAATTAGAAACCTTATAAAAAAACCAAAATGATAAAAAAAATTAGAAACCTTTCATCATCTCTTCTCTGTTCTTTATGGTTTTTGCCATGTATGTTACATCAACATCCATTGAAAATCATAAATTGTTTTTACTTGAAATCATCACACTAATTTTAAATAACAGCAAAAAAAAAACCCTACCAGTTTTGCATTTTCCTAGGTATTTGCCATTTTTCTCTGTTGTCTATTATTTCTGAAGCTCCTTGCTGATCTCCTAGGCAGTTACCTTTGAGCCTAAAGAAATTCCCATAGCACTTCCTGTGGGCAAGTCTGCTGGTTATGAGTTCCCGTGTTTTTTCTTCATTTAAGAATCTTTTTATTACCGTCAGTCTCAGACGTTGTGTTTACTATATTGCTGAATTCTGGGCTGACAGTCATGTTGGTCAGACTTTAAAAGTGTTCTCTTATCCGCTGGTTTGTCCTGGGTCTCATCACTTCAGTGATCGTGTCTACATGTAACAGACCATTTTCATATGTGCATATGTTTTTCATGTGTGTATGTAGCATGTCATTTTTGTCTAGATGCTTTCAAGATTTCTTCTCTTTGCTAGCAGTATTGTTATGCTGTGTCTAAGGATTTTCTTTCAGTTTATTCTGTTTGGGGATTTGGTTTTAAATCTGTAAATTTTTGTCTTTCACCAAGTTTGGAGAATTCTTAGCCATTTCAGTCATTATTTTATCAACCAGCTTTTATGCCCCAGTCTCCCCCCCCTCCGCTTTCTTTCTTACATTCCTTCCTTTTTTTCCTGTTTTTGAGACTGAGTCTCACTCTGTAGCCCTGGCTGGCCTAGAACTTGCTGGGTAGACAGGTTGGCCTCGAGCTCACAGAGATCCACCTGCCTCTGCCTCCTGAGTGCTGAGATTATAGGCATGTAGCACCACACTCTGTCATGGCCCTTTTCTGAGATATTAGTTGGATTTCTGTTACTGTGCCATGCCCCCTTCCACTTTCTTTAGCATGGACAGTATCTACTGAATGTATTTTCAAGGTCACTAATACCACTCTTCCTTTTATCCTCATGTTGAGTCTATCTGAATTTCTTATTTTAGATGCTATATTTTTTTCTATCTAAAATCTCTATTTAGTCCTCTCCCCCAATAGTTTCTACTTAAAAAAAAATTTTGTTATTTTTATTTTATGTGTATGTATGTATTACCTGCATGTAGGTAAGTGCACCCGTGTCGTGCAATGTCTGGAGGTCAGAAGAGGCTGTTGGATCCCCTGGGACTGGAGTTACGGACAGTTGTTAGCTGCCATGTGGGTGCTGGGATTCGAATCCGGGTCTTCTGCAAGAACAACCAGTGTTCTTAACTGCTGAGCCATCTCTCCAGCCCGTTTCTACTTTTTTTGAGGAAGAAATTATAAAAATTTATTAATTTATTTTATATATATGAGTGTTTTGTGTACATGTATATAAGTGCAGTCATGATTGCAGTGCCCACGGAGGCCAGAAGAGAGTATCGGATCCTCTGGGGTTGGGAGTTATGCATGTTTCTTAGCCACCATGTGGGTGCTAAGAACTGAACCCAGGTCCTCTGCAAGAGCAGCCAGTGCTCTTAACTGCTGAGCCATTGTTCCTAGAGGACAAGTCTTACAAGTCTTTTGTTCATTTCAAACTTATTTTCCTTTCTTTGGTAGAGCATGATTGTGAGGCCATTTTGAAATTTGAAGCCAATCATTTTAGGATTGACACCCTATGTTTCCTTCTCTCTTGAGAACTAGATAGACTCCTTTGACTGGAAGTATGCTTGTGCACTGTGTTGAGTGATCTGGGTTTGTATTCTGTTCATACAAATGCCATACCCGAAGTTCTGTGGAGGAGTGTGCTGTTGTTCTGGTGTGTGGTCAGCCAGGTAAGATTCTGGTGGTAAGCTCCATCTCTCTTTCTGCAGGAAGTAGCTCTGGTTTCATTCACCATGTTGAGCCTTAGCTCTGCTGGTTTGGTCTGTGTCACACGTGTGTAATTTAGGGCTAGGTAAGGATTGAAGGATTGGCTTTTGGACACTACCCTCTGGGATTCCACCTGTACTCTCTTCATCCCGCAAGGGCTTTTTTTTTTTTTTTTTTTTCCTGGTTCTTATGGTGGAAACAGTTTCTATGGAGTTTGAGTTCTCTGGCTGGAACTGAGGGCACTATGAATGGGGGCTTTCTCTTGGGGCAAAGCTGCACCAGGAAGCCTACAACTGTGCAGGTAGCTTCTGCAGGCATAAAGTCCCTTCTGCCAGCTGCCTACCAGGCTGCAGGGGCCTTCCTTACACTGTGTGGGAGAGTAGAGATTCTGGTTATTTATTTTGCTATGTGGGGATGAAACCCAGGGCTTCATACATGCTAAGCAAGCTCTGTACCTCTGAGCTATACCCCCACCCCAGTGGGTTAAATTTTAGTCACTAGTGATTGTGAAGTGTGAATGAGATAATGGTTGTAAACGTGCTCTGTAAATTGAAAACTTTTCTACTGGTCGCTGCTGCTGCAGTCTGTGTGTGTCTGTCTGTCTGTGTGTGAGTGAATGCATGTGTGTATATCTGTGTGTGCACACATATGTGTGTGAGTATGCATATATATGCATGCTTTTTATACTTACCTTCACTGCAGTGCCATCACCTCTGTCTCTTCCTATTCAGGCCCTTCCTGGACCTCATTACTACACATGGGGCGACCACGGAGGCATCATCATGGCCATTGCCCAGGGCATGGAGACCAATGAGCTGAAGTAAGTGACTGATTACACCTTCTCTTCTCCTTTCTTTTCTGCCCCCTTTCCTCCCTTTCTTCTTTCCCACCCTTCCTCCCTTCCTCACCCCCTCTCTACCCTGAGACAAGGTTTCAAGCCCATGCTGCCTTGAAACTCACTATGTAGCACCAGCTGGCACAGAACTTGCAGTCCTCCTGACTCTGATTCCTGAGTGCTGGGATTATGGGCATCAGTCACTGTACCCAGCTTATGCCTTTATTTTGACATCACACTGTTTCCTCAGAAGTTGGTGCCTGGATTAGAGTTGGAGTCTCTCTGCAGCAAGAGGTTATTGACAGACAGCTCGAGGCCACTGAGAACCACTTAAACTTTTCATGTCTATAAAATAGGCATAGCGCCCACCCCTTCTATCCTAGAGTGGTATTCTGAAAAACACGTGAAGTCATGTTATTCATTTGAAAAAGCACAACTTTGTGTAAGTATAAAGACTAAAGAATGACTAAAAACTGGCTAGATTCTTTCTTAAAATAAATTTCTTTATAGACATACACAGGCGCCAAGGATCCAAGTGCAGCCGATTATGACTAGTAATAATCAGATACATACAAATTAGAGATGCACGCACCAACATCTCAGTGTTAGTAACAAAAACAATGAGTCTTTCTGTGTGTGAACAGTTGTGAAACTCTGTAGAAGTCTCCATTTGTTTCAAGAAGCTTCTTTGATGAGTGGTGTACTGTCTCCTTCTCTGGAAATATAAGGATCCATATTTATAATACAGTAAGAAATTTCATTTGTCTAGAGATATGACAGACATAGGATTTCCTCTAGGATCTATGACTTCTTCAGCCATGTATATTTGGCAATAATTACAGTGCCACCCATGAGTTCATTCCCACGTAGTTATTAAAATTTTTTAAAAGCATAATGATTAAAAAATTAATTTCTTTATGGTAACATACAGAGTATGTTTCATTACGGTACTGCTGTACATATGTGGCTTTGTGCTTTCTTCACAGTTGTTACCCTTCCCACTGCCCTGTCCGCTATCTCCTCCCCACTCTGTCTGGCTCTCTTCCTTCCTCCAGATAGTTCCTCCTTCTGCTTTCTTAGCACATGTAACTAGAGTCTTTAACCTGTATTTGCTTAGCGCAAGCAGCATATCCGTATCGTTTACTCATAGAATGACTAATAGTCAATAACAGCAATTAATAATAATGTATGAGTAGGGATTATGGAATGTGTGTGACTTGGTAGCCAGGTGATTTTTGCTGTAGTATGTTTGGTCTTGGGGGTTGTCATAGATGGGGCTAAAAGGGATGTTAGGGGTTAAGTGCTTCATTACAGATGAGACAGTTGGAGCTCATCATGGTTAAGGAACCATTAGTTAGTGGTGGAAGTGTTATTAACACTTGTCTTAGACTATTTCCTATACTTTTTAGACTATGTCATTCTAAAAAGCAAGGTTGAGCTTTTGTGCCCTCCATCCACCCCTGAGTTTCGGTTTCATCCACAGATACCTCTCTGCGTTCTTGAAGCTGTTGAGCTGAAGTTACCAGTGCTTTGGGATGGGCAGGTCCTCATTCCTGCTTGTTTTTGAGTTGAACTCATTAGCTGGATGACTGAGGGAGATGGAGAAGGCATCTCTAATCACATTAAATAGAGGAAGCAAGCATCCCTTGCCTTTGCTCCTTTTAGAATCAGGGCCAGTGGCAAGAGAGAGGTGGGCAGTTTTCAGACGAGATCTTAGCAGCTGCTTTTCCCCTGTGGTTCATTTGACATGTGCTGAGCCTCTGGGAGGCAGAGAAACAAAGCTGGGTGTTTGCTTTCCACCTGCCATTCCTGGCCTTGGTTGGCACTGGGCAGCTGCTTCTTTGAAGCCGAGAGTCAGGGTGTGCTTGTACATGACGCTCCGCATCCGTGTTCAGAGTGGCTTTTGCTCAGAGGATGATACCCATAGAGCCCAGTGCTTCCCATGCTTCTGCTGGTGTTTGTGTGTCTAGTCATTTAACTCACATCTCCCACACTGAGCAAGCACTGCTTGTGCCAGTACTGTGTATCCAAAGATGAACAGGATGTTGTCTTCCTCCTGTAAGCATTTCATCTTCTAGCTGTAAGCTAGGTGAGGAAGTAATTGTAGTGGTTGATAAACTGCTCTGTGAGGAAGGATGCAGGGCCCAGAGCTTGGTTTCCTGGGCATAAATTTCTTTCTTTGTATGGTTCTCAGTTCTCAATTTTCCTTGTTTAACTTCTCTGGATTACATTTGCATTCCAGGCTGGCTCCTCTGAAGGCGTTAGTGTGATTCTAGTCCTCTTACACCATCTGTTGGTGCATATGTGCCCAGGGAACGCAGCGTCATTCTGGGCTAGCTGCAGCAAAACACCACCAGGAAAATAAACCTGCTGCCAGAAAACTACAATGCCCTTCCCAGACATTTGGTAATGGCTCTGGCATTGTAGCTATTGGACGTCACGAATACAGTAGCATTCTCTTATTTGTATAGGTCATTTGGAAGTATCTGTAGTGCATAGCTCAAATAAAGCTTTTGCAAATAGGAAAATGAGGACTGACCTCCTTTTGACAGGCACCCATGTCCCACATACCAGCCTGAGCATGGTCCAGATCTGCATAGCCACCTGGCATTTACTCAGTGTGTTGTTCACAGAGGGGTTTTGGTTCTCCTCCCACTGTTCTGAAAACCAGATTATATTGGAAGTTAGTTCATAGTCTCCAAGGACAGTGGTGATTATTGTGATACCTAGGCATGAGTGAGGCCCTATGTTAGACTTTTTGTTCTTGTGACAAATACTCCAAAGAAGCAAGTTAAAGAAAGAAAGGTTTATTTTGGCTCATAGTGTTAAAGGTTTCATTCCTGGCTGACTGGCTCCATTGCTTTGGACCTGAGGCAAAGCACAGTCATCATGGCAGAGCAGAGCTGCTCACTTTGTAGCCACCAGGAAGCAGTCAGGTAGGAAGGGGAGAGGGACACGTATATTTTTCCAGGTCGTGCCGTCAAGGACTTCCTTCCTCTAAATAAGCCCCACTTCTCACTTTCCACCACCTCCCAATAAGACCACAAGTTATGAATCCATCAAGGGATTAGGGACTTCATATCCAAGCTGTTACAGGCTGCTGTCAAGACTGAGCTTCTGTTGCTGGCTTAGGGCTCTAGGCCTCTACTCATTCTGATCTCCCCAACCATAGCGACCCGTCTGTCCTTTGAGCCTCATAGCACTTCTTGGTCATCCTATTAATTTGGATTGATTGTATTCTAACTCCATGATTTAGTTACCTTTTCATTACACGCCTGGATTCTTCAACTCATTAGTAAGGTCTTTGTAGGCAAGTGTTCCTAGTCTATCCAAGTTAGCAGGCACTTAGCAAATATTTGATTGATCAATAAATAGGTCATGCATACTTGGGCTTCTGAGATTGCTTCTTTCTTTCTTCCTTTTTTTTTTTTTTTTTAAAGCACTGATTCATAAAACAAGAAGGCATCTGGGTAGGGTGCTATTTGCACAGCTCCAAGGGAGACCACTGCTGTTGTGTTCCATGTAAATGGCAACTACCACTGAGCAGTGGGGCAGACAAACAGCCAGAGAGACCATCCAATCTGCTGTCCTCAGCTTCCACCTAAGAATATGATATGATTTGTCGGAGAGAGCACCCACGCTGGAACATGAGCAGATTTGTGCTAGGAATCATTTCAGGTCAATTACACAAACATTTGTTGAACATCGGCAGTGAACCAGATGTGCTAGACACCAGTGATGTGAAGGCGAGTGAGGCATGTCAGGAGCTGCCTGTGCCCCTGGGGAGCCCTGGGATGTCTGAGCCAGTTGGAGAGAGAGCCTGGGAGTAGGAGTTTGTTGTGAAGGGAGATTGAAGACAGGAAAAGAGGAACTGTGTATCAAAGGTGAAGAGGATATGGTCCCCCACCTTTAAGCAGTTCACTCTTTAGTTGTAAACTAGGTGAAGAGAGACAGGCAGAGCAGAGCGGGGCATTGTAATCAGAAGTCAAAGGCAGCAGGGACAGAGGTAGGAGCCTTCCTTCAAGATAGATCTGGGGTTCATTTTGTTTCCTTTTCCTGGTGACTCATTTAAACGGTTCATGTTCTTCTCTCTCTGATTAGCACAATAACTGAGGCTCCCCTGTTTTTTGCCTTCTGCCTTGTTTTCCACTGAGACTATCACCTTTGTTAATTGAAATGGATGGAGCTCTTTGGTTTGCTGTTGTGTCTACCTTTGAGCAAATAAGGCTCCCAGGCTGGAGATTTGCTTATGCATTCATTCAGCATGCTGTGCCAGGAGCCTGCTTGGGGGATGCATGGGAGTGTTTCTGTTTCTTGGGAATCGACAACATCCTTCAGAGAAGGGGCTGTTGCGTGTTTGCAGTATGACCAAAAGGGATACAAGCACAAGTTTGTCAGCTGGATCATGAGGGATGAGATCAAGTTCTGTTTCCTCTTGGCAGTTTGCCTGTCAGCATGATGGGATGTTGATAGCTACTAATAATTTGGACTTGCCCCAAAGCATCTTTTCTCTAAGGAGAGCTCTAGTTTCGCAAGGCTTCCCTCTGGGAATCCTGAAAACGCCTGCAGAGGCTACATGTAGCAGAACAGCTGTCTTTTCTGGACTTGAGTTCTAGAGGCAGCCTTTTGGTTCCAGTTGGGGCAGGATCTGTTAACCTCTTCCCTGACTTCTGTGTCTTTGGTTACCTAGTAACATGGTAGTGGGGCTGCAGAGAGTGATCCCACCGTATTCTAACCTTGTGTGACTTCTGCTCCTTGAGGCCTAAAGAGCAGGTATTCTTATCACCTTATAACAGTCACAAAACTAAGGCAGAGGTTAAAACAATGAAAATTCAGAGTACTTTATGTAACTTACTGCAGCAAATGCTATTTATTGCTTTTTCTGTATGCTCGGAGAGGTGTGAGTCTCAGGGATAGGAAGTGGGTGGGGGTTTTATTCTTGACTAACCACAGTGTAGGGGAAGACACAGGACTTTTACACAGTA